ATCATTACAGCTCGGGAAGAGAGTTCTCGCACCCAGTGCCGAATAACAACAACCGGGCAGTCGTTGGATTGCAGCTCCCAGGCAACTCTGACAATCCAATTCAGAAAGATCCGGCGTGCACTGCCCAAGACTGTATATTCTCTCAAACGCAGTGAAGTTAGCTTCTTGAGTCGCAAATTTCTTGCCGGATCGACCGCCGGCGGCTCGAGTGGCCATCTGATTCAACGTGTTTCCGACAGCATCCATGAACCTAGCCGGCTGAGAATCGTTCTGTGTATTATACAAATTCAACAAGGGCGACTGGTCGGCTCTCCCGAACATAGAGCTGTTGGAGTAACGCAACATACAGAAATCGTACCAGACAACAGCAGCCCTTTCGTTGGGGCATAGCTGCAGTATCTCTCTGATGGCATTTCTTACACAGGCCCCGCAGTCGGAGGTGGAGACATCACCCCGGCACATGAACAGGCCGTACGCGGTGTCCCTGGAGTTGTCGCGTCCACCGCCGGCGGTGAAACTGTAGAAACCATTTTCGCGGGTGCCATTGGAAGAAAGGGTGGAGAGAAGAGAATTAAGATTGGCTTGATATGTGCTGTTAGGAGTATAAGTTGTGGTGTTGGGACAGTAATAAGAGAGAGGTTGGGAGGAAACTCCGGCGAACAGAGTGAGCAGGAAGAAGAAGATGCAGAGGGTGTAGCCCACAGAAAGCATCTGAATGGAAATGACGAAAATGCCCAGGGCAAATCGGAGGTCTAGCCGGAGACATGACGGAAAACGGCTTGAGGGACTTATTTGACGAAAGACAATTATTTTCGGGGACTAATTTGATGAATACGTGATTCAGGGACAACATTGACAAGTCGCGAATAAGTGAGGGACCAAATCGTTTATTCACCCTATTATATTATGATACTAGTAATTCACCCGCGCGATGCACGGGAAAAAATTATGTTATTATAAATAAAAATAAAAAAATAGAAAAAATAAAAATATTTTAAATTGTTTAATATAATAATATTTTTGAGCTTCATTGATCAAGTATTTATTATTTTTATAGAATACAAAATTATAATTAAAATTTTGTATGGTTAATATAATCTCTAATTATGTACATAATTACATTGATTTATTCTTAATTGTATTTCATCTATATTATAATTTTCACAATACGAATAATAACTAAGATAATTACATTTAGAAAGCAAATTTCAAATTTTGTATGAGTAAATTTAAACTCTAATTGAACACATTTTTTATATGATTATATAATATATTTTATATGCACATGTTATTCCATAAACTCAAATGTCATTTTATAAGTCCAAGACCACTTTTTGTGGAGATAATTCAAATGTATTTTTTTTCTTTTAAAAGTCCTAAGTTTAGACATCCAGAAAAATATTAAAGACCCATACGATATATACATTTATATATATTTAAATTTTTATTTATGGCTTAAATGATTTTTTTTTATTCTAAAGTCCCAATAATTGACCTACGGCCTGCAACATTTGCTTTCTTCATCCCTTCTCGCTTCTGCCATTTCTTTGAAGCATTTGAGAGGGAGAAAAATTATATGTAGAGGCTTGCATTAATTGCATTGTTTCAGATATCGAATAGGTTTTCATCAAAAATTTAATTAATATTGTAATCCTAAGAACCACCATAAATAACAAAAGCATATCAAATAGACTTTCATTGTAAAGCCAGAAATTTAATTAATATTGCATCGTTTCATATTTTCTATTAATCGGGAATCGAAATCCTTAATTCTAATATCATAACATTTAATAACTCCATTAATTCAATAAATGTAATCCTTTGTTATGAGAGTAAAAAAGTAGCTATTTTATTTTTCAAATGTTGTGCTTTTTTTTTTTTTTTTTTTTTTTTTTTTTTATTATAGTAAAAGATGTTGTGACTATTTTATATTTAGAGCTAGTAATAATAATAATGTTGGTAATTAATTGTAACATTAATTATTTTCCAACCATATAGCTTTATTATATGTAAGATAAGAGTGAATAATTAAATATATTAATATTCATTTAATATATTTCAATATACATTATTAAATCTACTAAAACTGAGTAGCAAATTAATATTTTCTTTTTTAATACTGTGCATGCTCATGTTATATACATAATCACCCTATGTTTATGTTAATTTTTTTTTTTTTTTGAAAATATGTTTATGTTAATTTTAATTAATTCTTTGTTTCAAATTAATATCTATCTTATATATGTAATTCCTTGTTTATGTAATCACCATCTTCTTTGACTTGGAAGACCGAAACCGCCATTAATGCAGTTATTCAAAGAATATTACTTGAAAAGAAATGAAAATATACAATACCAGTAATTCATCAAAAGATCTAAAATTTCAAATTAAAGATAAATGAAAAAATCACCAGGTTACTCATTGAAGAAGATAAGAATTGATATTGTGATCTGCAAAATTAATTAGGAGGGGCCAAATAATTTAAGAAGGGAAGATACCAAAATAAGTATTATACTATATATGCAAGTTGCTCCGTCCCTGGTGGTAAGTGCTTGATCCTAAACTATGTATAGTCCAGGAAAATAACATGCTGCTTGTAGCATTTGATTCAACAAGTATAAAATTCTGACTATGCAAAGTTTGATTTATTTCTGGTTTGAGAAAGTTTGTTGGCTAGATAAGGTTTAAAAAAAACACAAGCAGGATGGCCAAACGTAACCCATCAAATGAAACAACCTATTTGGCTATTTCCATCGGCAAATTATTGTATGGAGCGTAATTCACACAGCTGTGTGGACTATGGTTTAAAACAACATCATTTTGATGTTAAAAAAAAAAAAAAAAAAAAAAAAAAACTTATTCCGCACACGTGTTAAAATAATGAACATTTTGAGATAAAATAATATATTTTATGAATTAAAATAATATACTTTATATGTTTTTGAATCATAATTCACACACTTATGTACGGTCCACACAATAATGATTCATTCCCGTCTATAGTTAGTGGCTGACGGAGGGAAAGATGTCCCTTACCCCGTATCCTTGAAATTTTTAAAAATATTTTTTAGTTAGTTATTTTTTGAATTTGACATTCGAAAATTTTATATTACAACTTACCTTTTTTTATGTTACAACTTGCTTCCAAATATGTAACTACTAATATTAAATTTTGATATTACATATTTAAGACTATTAATTAAATTGCCGATATGAATTTTGATTTTGCTTTAACTTACAGCTTACGTGCTTATATGAATGAATTTTGAATTTTGAATTTTGAATTTAGATTTTCCTTATAGTTGACTTGCTTCCAATTTCCAAATATATGATGAATTTCAGTTAGGTTACGTTCTTATTATTTGTTACTTAATTCTTTGAGATTTCATATTTATTTATACTTATTACTTGCTCCCAAATATATGAATTTGAGTTAGGTTCTTGCTAGCTATTTATTTCAATTCATTATTGTTTGAGATTTTATATTTATTTATACTTACTTGCTCCAAAATATATGAATTTGAGTTAGGTTGTTGTTATTTATTACTTTATTCTCTTTGATATTTTATATTTATTTATACTTAATTACTCCCAAAATATAAGCATCTTGATTCCAACTTAGATTGTTGGAAATTTAAAAATATATCGTGTATGTTAGATTGTTATTTTTTTAGAAAACATGATGTAACAGCTTAGATCTATATATATATATTTTTTTTGAATGTTACTAGCTCTATTACATTGTAGTATGTGTTCATATACTTTCTCAACCTACTGAAACACAAAGAGCCAATAACGCCTCCACTGAGACTTGAACTCACAACCTTCCAAATGGAAGTCCAACCCGGATACCATTAGACCACATAGTCCTGGTAGCTTAGATTTATATAAATATGAGTAATTGTTGATATTAAATTGTTATAAAATATATATGTTTGATGTCAAATTATTTACAAGAAGATTCTTGCAAAAATGTTAAATTTGTTTTGTGATTTGTTGATTAAAAAAAATGCTTAATCAAAATATGAGAAATTATAAGTAAATATTATATTGTAGTTTTTCATAACTATTAAATATTTTATTTTTATTTATGTGTTTTGCAATCAAACACTAGTAGAGAATTGACCAAAAAAATGAAACAATACACTTTTTTAATTAGAGCAAATACCAATTTTGGTCCCACGAGTATTAACAAAATGACAGTTTTGGTCCACATGATTAATTCCTACCAATTTTCATCCATGACTATTGTTTTAGTACCAATTTTCATCCACAACTATTATTTTAATGCCAAAATTCATCATGACGGTCACCCTTCGTTTAAGACATGCCGAAATATAAAATTATTAAGGGTAGTTTTGTGCTTTTCAAATTAGGATCCCTATTTGAGCATGAATAAAGAGATTTAAGTCCTAAAATTTATCCCAATTCACAGTTTTTCTCCTCAAATTAAGGTAGGATGAGGAGGAGAACTGCGAATTGGGATCGATCTTAGGGCTTAAATTCATTTATTTATGCTCAAATTGAAATCTTAAGTTGAAGAGGACGAAAATGGCCTTACAATTTTTAGATTTCGTGATGTCTTAAATAGATAGGTGACCGACGTGATGAATTTTGGTATTAAAATAATAGATGTGGATTAAAATTGGTACTAAAACAATAGTCGTGGATGAAAATTGGTAGGAATTAAACATGTGGACTAAAATCGTCATTTTGCTAATACTCGTAGGACCAAAATTGGTATTTGCTCTTTTTAATTACAAGTAAAAACTTCTAAAGTAAGGAAAAAAAATCGCGGTGGCATAGTTGTAAATATATTACAAACTTCACGGGTCTTTACTTATATAGTCAAGACTCTTATTACCAATTCAATGACGACACGCGTCTTTACCAGCAAGGTAAAGACGCGTATTCCTACGCGTATTTTTTTTTTTTTTGTAAAAAGTAAATAAAAAACTAAAACCATAAAAATAAAATTCTCTCCCCCAAAACCTAGGTTTCCTCCTTTTCTATCTCTCTCCGCCGCACCCTTCTCTCCAAAATCCAAATCCCTAACCTCCGCCGCCTCCGTGCCTCGCCTGCTCCAAGCAACCAACGGACCAAGCCGCCTTCGTGGTGCGACGACGCAGCAGACTCGAATGCCGACTTCCGCCTCTCCCCCGCCCTCCCCTGCGACAGATCCAGTAGACTCGAACGCTTGTGCTTGTGTCTCGGTCTAGATCTACGATTTGGGTCTTGGTCGTCCTCCTTCCACAGCGGCACTGAAATTGCAAGATCTACTTCTCTGACCAGGTTCTTGATCTTTATTTCTTATTTTTCTCACCATAGTCTTTTATACTACTGGTTTTCTTGGTGCTGCCTGCCTCTTTTGCAGTTCCGAGAGTGGAATTACCATAGGAGAGTATGCTAATGAAGATGAAGATGCTGGTGGGAATGGATGTGGAAGACGATGAAGGAGCGGCTGGTCAGCAGCAGGATTCGTCTTTGGCTTTCATCGATGACTTCAATCACAATTGCACTCTCTCCCCGAAGCAGGTTACAAGCTCTTAATGTCATTCCATCACTATTTCTTCTGAACTTACTAGCATTTCCGGATTATGTAATTATGGTGTAGAAATGTGGAATCAGTCCTAACTAATTAATTGAATCAACCCATGTTCAATCGCAGTGAGTTTCTCATTTCATACGAGCATCTTCAAATCCATATCTTTAGAGCATGTTATAGATCTAAATAAACGTAATTGAGATCTTACACACAATTGGATTTGTTTGTAGAACTGCTAGCACTTAAAGCCCATGGTAAAGGACACAAAATACTATGAAATATTGGGGGTTGGGGTGGGTGCCACGCCCGCAGGCGGTTCATCATCCAAGTGAGGCTAATTCTTCATTATATTCTAAGACATTAATATTTGCTGCTTCAGTTTTTAATTTCAGTGTGGTGGTGTTTAATATTTTGTTTGTAATTGTAATGTCTAAATGGTATGGATACTGGTAGTTCTATGTCATTTAATCTTCTTCTTCTTTCTTGAAAAAAAAAAGATGAATTTATATTGTATTAGTAAATGAATTACTCTCTAGATCAATTAGAATTATACATTAGAACTGTGGTATATTGAAATTAAGCATGCAAATTACTGTTTAACCATCATCATTATTATAATTAGTAGTATTGGTATTATCATTATTTCTGCTATTTTTAATTTTATTTTTACTTACAGAAATTATGTTGAATCCTGATGTTTCTAATTGGACTTAAAAGATTTATCAAATATATTCTGTTTTATGTAGTCTACTTAATTTTGTTTATGCTAACACAATTATGAGTTCTGATGTTTCATATAAAAGGTTAAAGAGTGCAAGTATTATACTTTATCTACTAATGTGGCTAGACTAGAGGATATCAGTAGATAGCTTAAAACTATGTTGAACTTGCTGATTTGGTTGTCCTGCAAAGAAGAAGTGGGATGCTGGAAAGGGAAGTAGTAGGAGTGGACATTGACTCATTCAAATTCTTCTCTAACACTTTGAGCCCTGGTTCTTTTCCACCCTCTTAGACAAGACAATTTCTAGTGTGGAAGCTGATTTGTGCCCATCTTTGTTTGGTCATTTCTCCCTCCGTTGGAATGTCACAACTTTTTTGTCTCTTTTGTTTTTCTTTTCATCAACAGTACCCTTGATATATCATTAGTAGTTGCATAGATAACAATTTTCTTATATTATGTTTTAGAATGTTGGTATGCCCAAACAGAGTAGTACAATGATAAGGAACCAGGAGGGGTTCATAGCAATGGTCCTGTTCTTGATGAAGTTCTACTGTCTGACCCAGAGGTAAACATTACGGACCATTTCATCAAGTAGTCCATAGTTTACCTTTCTTGGAATTAATCTGCATATAGCATCCTTATTCCTTACCTTCAGCCATTTTTAAATGAATTGAAATTTCTAAGTAGAATACTTTGGGGTTCGGCTTAGAAGTCACACCCAGAATTGTGTCACCACTTTGTTAGGGTAATTTTGCTGTGCTTAAACACCATTTATGAAAAACAAAAAAGAAAACACACACACACACACCATATCTTGAATGAATTGAAATTTCTTCCTAATGACAAAATTAACCAACCCATATTCTAACACTCTCCATCCTTCAACAATCAAAATTTTCAAAACCTTTACAAGCCAACCACATATTTCAATCCAAAAACAGCATGGGACTCTATTTAAGGAGAATTTTCTTTTTTAATCCAATTACTAGAGTATACTATTTTGTAATATTTGGTCAGTATGCACAATAATTCAATTTTTTTTTTTGTTGCAATATATATAATTCTTTGCAGTTATCTGATGCAATTGAGAATGAAAAGGTGGTGAACAAAACAATTCAAATTTATAATATTGACCGTGCCACTTGTGGACCGCATAGCTGGTGTTATTGCGAAGAAATACGGTGACACTGGTTTTGCTGGGTAGCTTAACATAACGTAATTCCAATCTTATATATAATTGTTGTGATTCTTGCATACATTGAGAAACATTTTGTTTTTCTATATCCTTGTAAAACTTAGAAGATTTGTTGCTACTCATGCAGATTCATAGGGAGTGGTGGGCAGTCATTTGGTTGTTTTTTGACACCTGGAAAGAACATCCGTCTTGTAGGAGAAGCTAATGACTATGTGGGGAAGGTTGGTTCATTAATTTTCTAATACCATGTGTAGAGCACATTTATCTCTCAAACATAAGCTTAAAAGGATAAAATTTTTGTTAAACACCAAGTGCTTCTGATAGTTTCATTGTGATTAAGTGTTTATTATTCACCTATTTATTATATTTTGTGTTTAATGATTTTTGATTGGATAATAGAATTTTCTTTTGAAACTAATGAATATTATTTTTAGAAAATATAACAGGCGTCTTAAAGATTCCTATTGTTATTTTTTTTATTTTTGTTAAACACTATACGCGTCTTTACTATACTAGTAAAGACGCGTATAGTCCCGTTTTACGCGGCTTCCAAGCAAAGACACGTAAAGTTGCCAACTTTCAGTGTCTGCGTCATACGCGTCTTTACTAGTAAAGACGCGTATTGTCTAATAGTAAAGACGCGAATGACTCATTTTGTACTAGTGAAACTATTTTGATTAATAACGATGTTCTTTGTTTAAATGTTTTTTGATGCCTTAATGTTACATTGAACATATTGACACAACATTAATTTGACATTATTTATGTCAAATCAAATATATATTTTACATACAAAAGACAAAATTCATCGCTCTAAGAGCCCAACACCCCAACTCAATAGGATGGTGGAGGTCAAAACCAACCCATAGTTTTATACTACACAACACTTGACATCATAGAATAGTTATAAAAGTAAGAAAATTATATTTATGTTAAAATTAAATACGTAAATAATAAAGTGTGCAAATATATATATATATATATATATATATATATATATATATATATATATATATATATAGGCGGGTTCAGGTGCGGCAGTGTCTTACGGTGCGGTTATTTCTTACGGTGCGGCAACACCAATAGTTCACCAAATATGCACCATCAACGTTAGGAAATACACCACACAAAACAGAGTAAACAGAGCCCTGCATCACCAAACACACACCATTAGGTGTGAGTAAAAGCACCATACACTGTTCGGAAATACACCATTGGGGGTGGTGAGTTATATGGTGTGTTTTTTTGAGTCTGTGGTGTATTTTGTGATGTTTTATTACATTTCATTGGGGTGTGTTTTTATTACACTGTTGGTGCATATTGTTAACACTGTTGGTGTATTCTGGAATTTGACCGCACCGCCGCATATGAGCGCTCTTCTATATATATATATATATATATATATATATATATATATATATAGGGAAGGGTTCAGGTGCGGGTATAGCTTCCCGTGCGGTTGTGCGGTTAGATCTGAGCTGTTGATCAAATTTAGATCAATGACTCAAATTAATAAAAATTAAAAAAAAAATGCGTGTCGGGAAGAAGATAGCGCCTACACAGCGTCTACACAAATGAGTAGCGTCTACACAAATGATAGCGTCTGCACAACCTCACGCACATTAAGTACAAATCCCACACACATTAAACACAGCCTCACGCACATTAAGCACAAACCCCACGCACTTTAAATATTAACTCACAGATTTTAAGTTTCAACAACTATTGACATTAAGCACAACCTCACGCACATTAAGTACAAACCCCACACACATTAAGCACAACCTCACGCACATTAAGCACAAACCCCACGCACTTTAATATATTAACTCACAGATTTTAAGTTTCAACAACTATTGACATTAAGCACAACCTCACGCACATTATGTACAAACCCCACACACATTAAGCACAACCTCACGCACATTAAGCACAAACCTCACGCACATTAATCACAGATCCGCTCACCTTAATTTTGACCTACATGCAAAAATTACAAAATTGTCGCCACATTTTTTTTTTTTTAAATTTTGACAATTCTGGACGTTGATTTAAGCGAGATGAATGGTCCAGATTAAACCGCACATGCGCACTCTAACCGCACCAGAACCTAATTCTATATATATATATATATATATATATATATATATATATACTAGTATTTTCACCCGTGCGATGCACGGAATGGATCTGTTATAATATTTTAAAAATATTTGGATCAATATACAATTATATAAATTATACATCGAATATTATATAGTGTAATTAAAGAATTGAGTTGTATCGACTGTATTTTCTAATGTTATCATTGCTTGAATTCGAGCAAATAATTGCCCAATTAATAACCAATGTGTAGATGTACGCATCCGATGCTAAAAATTTAGAGATTTTATATATCAGTGTTTATGATTTGTATTAAGTGGCAAATTTGTTTTGTCTGGCAACTCAGTTATATAAACCATTTGCTATCCTAATTTATTTGTATGGAAGATATAATTTCTGTGTAGATATATACCAATTTTGCCATCCTTGCATAAAAAGAAAACATAATATCACTGGTTGGAACTACACATTATTGAAAAGCTCTTTGTAAATGACATTGGTAGTAGCAATAGAATCTTGTCCATCATCGTCTAAAGCTAACACCTTCAGGCCTTCAGGATGGGTGATTTGGGAAAAGTCACATACAATTCCCATTGCCCATTGCATTACTATTTTCTCTGGGAAATCAATGAGCTCGAATTCATATGTATCCCATATAATACATATATTATAGTTAATCCGTTTTCTTTTTGAAATAGTTAATCAGGGATCATTTAGAGTTTTGAGTCAAATAGTAATATTCATTTCATTTTTCAATTGGCTTAGTTTATGTGCCATTTTTAATCATAGTTAATTATTTTCTAATACATATCAATTAGTTAATTATTAATAACATATTTTTTAATATTTTCAGTCAATTATTAATAATAGATTATTTTTCCAATTGACCTATACTATTGTTAATCTGTTTCCTTTTCGGAATAGTTAATTGGAATCATTTTAAATTTTCAGTCAATTATTAATATTCATTTCTTTTTTTTATTACCATATAATTAACATAGTCATGCAATAACGTAGTAATAATCTTCTCTGTGCAAAGTATTCTCAAAATAGTTTGCCCATTGAATGACTATTTCCTCTGAAAATCAATGAGTTCAAATCCATATGTACCCCATATAATAACTATAATATAGTTAATCTATTTTTTGTTCGAAATAGTTTAATTGGGGATCATTTTTAATTTTCAACCAATTATTAATATTTATTTTTTATCTCAGTCAATTATCATTTTGTTACTACATATCAATTAATTAATTATAAATAACAGATTATTTTTTGTTAATATTTTCAGTCAATTATTAATAACAGATTCATTTTTCAATTGATCTATATTATTGTTTGGACTGTCTGGCCATTTCCTTTTTCATTTGAATCAATTTGTGATCATTTTTAATAAAGTATTAATATTCATTTTATTTTTCAATTTGCCTAATTTCTGTGGCCATTTTTATTCTCAATAAATTATTCTTTTTAATACATATTAATTAGTTAATTATTAATAACGGATTTATTTTTAATATTTCCAGTCAATTATTAATAATAAATAAATTTTCCAATTTACTTATACTATAATTAATCCATTTTCTTTTCAAAATAGTTAATATGGAGATCTTTTTTAATTTTCAGACAATTATTAATATTTATTTCCTTTGTCAATTGGCCTAATTTCTGTGTCATTTATATTCACAACCAATTATTTTTTTCAATACATATCAATTAGTTAATTATTAATAACATATTATTTTTTAAATATTTTCCGTCAAATATAAATAATAGATTCCTTTTCCAATTTACATATAGTATTGTTTGGACGATCTGCCATTTCATTTTTCATTTTGGTTAATTTGAGATAATTTTTAATTTCAGTCAATTATTAATATTCACTTCATCTTTCAATTGACCTAATTTACGTGCAATATTTATTCTCAGTCAACTATTCTTTTTAAATACATATCAATTAGTCAATTAGTTAATTATTAATAACATATTCTTTTTAAAATATTTCCAGTAAATTATTAATAACAAAATACTTTACCAATTTACATATACTATTGTTTGGGCGATCTGACCGTTTTTTTTATTTGAGTCAGTTTGGAATCATTATTAATTTTCAGTCAATTGTTAATATTCATTTCCTATTTCGATTTACCTAAATTTCGTGCCATTTTTATTCTCAATTAATAATTATTTTTTGTAATATTCATTTTTAAACTATAATTTTACATGTGAACATAGTGTGAATAAACAAATAATACAAATACATATTCAAAGTAATGTAAAACCATGCAATTTTATAATTTAAACAAAATACACAAATTTAAAATTATAAATATAAAACATAACAAAAATATTGAAATAACCTAAGGACAAATGCATGTAAAATGTCAACCACCAATCATAGGAAGAATGTTTAATGCCCAAAGGCATAAATGGTTAGACTCTCAACAGGAAAATATTTTATTAATAACTAGTATTTTCACCCGTGCGATGCACGGAATTTATTTGTTATAATATATTAAAAATATTTGGGTCATTATACAATTATTTATATTATAACATCAAATATTATATAGTGCAATTGAAGATATAGTCTGGATCGTTTATGTTTGTTGATGATATCGTTGCTTGAATTTGAGAAAATAATTGTTCAAATTAATAGTTAATGTGTAGATGTACGCATGCAGTGTTATAACTTAAAGATTTTATATATCATTGTTTAAGATTTTTATAAATTAGACAAATGTGCTCGTTCTCTAGCAACTTAGTTATAGTAATCAATTGTTATCCTAATTGATTTGCATAGAGGATATATTTTTGTCTAGATATATAACAATTTTGTCATTTTGAAAAAAAAAAACATAATATCAACGATTGTATTTACACATTATTGAAAACATCTTTGTAGATGAAATTGGTAGTCGCAACACAATCTTTTCCATCCTCGTCTAGAGCTAACACCTTCAGGCCATCATGATGGGTGACTCGGGAGAAAGTCACGTACAATTGTCCGTGATTAAAGACCGATTATTTTTAGCAATAACCCAACGTGAGTTAGTGTTTGGCCTTGGCTTTTGTTGATAGTCATGGCATATGCAAGCATCAAAGGGAATTGTTTATGTTAGAACTTGAAGGGCAATCTCGTATGAGAAGGAGTGAGAGAAAATTGGGAGATAAGAACTTTGGTTCCTTCATGTGTCTCATTAACTATTCTTGCTTCGACAATGTGATCTGCCAATCTTGTGATGATGAGCCGCGTCCCGT